ATTGTCTATAGCTATGCTGCAAGTTGGTTACAGGTGTGCTGGGGAGCAATGTTTTGTGTTAGCTCAGGAGACAGGAAGACAAGGCTTAGGCAGCTTGAACCCAACACTTTTTGCCTTGGACATTGACACACTTGCTAGGGGGTGAAAAAAATCTGAGCTGGGTGAATGAGTGGGTGAGGTTAAGTATAGGGGGTTTTCCTGGTGGGAATTAAAAAAAGAGAGAGAGAAAGAAAAAACTTTAAAACTAATAATAACCTAGAAAACAGAGTAGGAGAGATCAACAGAGCTATTGCCGCAGACAGAAAGAAAATGAGGGGTGAGTGTCGCCAGCACTTGCCGCTCTGATTCCACTCGGCTGCCGTTGTCTAGCTGTTCAGTCATGTCCAATGCTGCGGCCCCGTGGACTGTAACCCGCCAGGCGCCTCTGTCCATGGGATTTCCCAGGCAAGCATAACAGAGTGGGTTGTCATTTCCTTATCCAGGGGATCTTCCTGGCCCAGGGGTCAAAACCGTGTTTCCTGCATTGGCAGGCAGATTCCTTATCACTGAGCCACAGGGAAAGTGGGCAGAAGGACACGGAATCAGCAGAGGATGCGACGGTTAGACAGCATTGCCAACTCAAGTCAGCCGTGTCTAACTCAGCGAGACTATGAGCCGTGCCATGCAGGGGCACCCAAGATGGATGGGTCATGGTGGAGAGGCCTGACAAAACGTGGTCGGTCCACTGGAGAAGGGAATGGCAAACCACTTCAGGATTCTTGCCTTGAGAACCCCATGAACAGTATGAGAAGGCAAAAAGATAGGACACTGAAAGATGAACTCCCCAGGTCGGTAGGTGCCCAACATGCTACTGGAGATCAGTGGAGAAATAACTCCAGAAAGAATGAAGAGGAGAAGCCAAAGGAAAAACAACACCCAGTTGTGGATGTGACTGGTGATGGAAGTAAAGTCCAATGCTGTAAAGAGCAATATTGCATAGGAACCTGGAGTGTCAGGTCCATGAATCAAGGCAAATTGGAAGTGGTCAAACAGGAGATGGCAAGAGTGAACATCGACATTCTAGGAATCAGTGAACTAAAATGGACTGGAATGGGTGAATTTAACTCAGATGACCATTATATCTACTACTGTGGGCAGGAATCCCTTAGAAGAAATGGAGTAGCCATCATAGTCAACAAAAGAGTCTGAAATGCAGTACTTGGATGCAATCTCAAAAATGACAGAATGATCTCTGTTCGTTTCCAAGGCAAACCATTCAATATCACGGTAATCCAAGTCTATGCCCCAACCAGTAATGCTGAAGAAGCTGAAGTTGAACGGTTCTATGAAGACCTACAAGACCTTCTAGAACTAACACCCAAAAAAGATGTCCTTTTCATTATAGGGGACTGGAATGCAAAAGTAGGAAGTCAAGAAACACCTGGAGTAACAGGCAAATTTGGCCTTGGAGTACAGAATGAAGCAGGGCAAAGGCTAATAGAGTTTTGCCAAGAGAACGCACTGGTCATAGCAAACACCCTCTTCCAACAACACAAGAGAAGACTCTACACATGGACATCACCAGATGGTCAACACCGAAATCAGATTGATTATATTCTTTGCAGCCAAAGATGGAGAAGCTCTATACAGTCAGCAAAAACAAGACCGGGAGCTGACTGTGGCTCAGATCATGAACTCCTTATTGCCAAATTCAGACTTAAATTGAAGAAAGTAGGGAAAACCACTAGACCATTCAGGTATGACCTAAATCAAATCCCTTATGATTATACAGTGGAAGTGAGAAATAGATTTAAGGGACTAGATCTGATAGACAGAGTGCCTGATGAACTATGGACGGAGGTTCGTGACATTGTACAGGAGACAGGGATCAAGACCATCCCCATGGAAAAGAAATGCAAAAAGGCAAAATGGTTGTCTGAGGAGGCCTTACAAATAGCTGTGAAAAGAAGAGAAGCGAAAAGCAAAGGAGAAAAGGAAAGATATTCCCATTTGAATGCAGAGTTCCAAAGAATAGCAAGGAGAGATAAGAAAGCCTTCCTCAGTGATCAATGCAAAGAAATAGAGGAAAACAATAGAATGGGAAAGACTAGAGATCTCTTCAAGAAAATTAGAGATACCAAGGGAACATTTAGCACAAAGATGGGAACAATAAAAGACAGAAATGGTATGGATCTAACAGAAGCAGAATATATTAAGAAGAGGAGGGAAGAATACACAGAAGAATTATACAGAAAAGATTGTAATGACCTGGATAAACACAACGGTGGAATCGCCCACCTAGAGCCAGACATCCTGGAGTGCGAGGTAGTGGGTCTCAGGAAGCATCACTATGAACAAAGCTAGTGGAGGTGATGGAATTCCAGCTGAGTTATTTCACATCCTAAAAGATGACACTGTGAAAGTGCTGCACTCAATATGTCAGCAAATTTGGAAAACTCAGCAGTGGCCACAGGACTGGAAAAGGTCAGTTTTCATTCCAATCCCAAAGAAAGGCAAGTCAAAAAATGCTCAAACTATGGCACAAATGCACTCATCTCATATGCTAGCAAAGTAATGCTGAAAATTCTCCAATGCCAACATCCACTGGACCATAAAAAAAGCAAGAGAATTCCAGAAAAACATTTACTTCTGATTCATTGACTACACTAAAGCTTCTGACTGTGTGGGCCACAACAAACTGTGGAAACTTCTGAAGGAGATGGGAATCCCAGACCACCTGACCTGCCTTCTGAGAAATCTGTATGCAGGTCAACAACCAACAATTAGAACCAGACATGGAACAATGGACTGGTTCCAAACAGGGAAAACAGTACGTCAAGGCTGTATATTGCAATCCTGCTTATGTAATTTCTATGCAGAGTATATCATGTGAAATGCTGGACTGGAAGACCCACAAGCTGGAATAAAGCTTGCTGGGAGAAATATCATTAACCTCAGATATGCAGATGACACCACCCTTATGGCAGAAAGTGAAGAAGAACTAAAGAGCCTCTTGATGATAGTGAAGGAAGAGAGTGAAAAAGCTGACTTAAAACTCAACAATCAAAAAACAAATATCATGGCATCCAGTTCCATCACTTCATGGCAGATAGGAAACAACGGAAACAGTGACAGACTTTATTTTCTTGGGCTCCAAGATCACTGCAGATGTTGACTGCACCCAGGAAATTAAAGGACGCTTGCTCCTTGGAAGAAAAGCTATGACTGACATAGGCAGCATATTATAAAGCACAGAGATTACTTTGCTGACAAGTTCCACCTAGTCAAAGCTATGGTTTTTTTCCAGTAGTTACGTATGGATGTGAGAGTTGGACTATAAAGAAAGCTAAGTGCTGAAGAATTGATACTTTTGAACTGTGGTGTTGGAGAAGACTCTTGAGAGTCCCTTGGACTGCAAGGAGATCAAAGCAATCAATCCTAAAGGAGATCAGTCCTGAATATTTATTGGAAGGACTAACACTGAAGTGGAAACTCCAATACTTTGGTCACCTGATGCAAAGAACTGACTCACTGGAAAAGACCCTGATGCTGGGAAAGATTGAGAGCAGCAAACGGGGACGACAGAGGATGAGATGGCCGGATGGCATCACCGACTCAATGGACATGAGTTTGAGTGAACTCCGGGAGTTGGTGATGGACAGGGAGGCCTGGCATGCTGCAGTCCATGGAGTCACAACAAGTCGGACACGACTGAGCCACTGAACTGAACTGAACTCAATAGACATGAATTCAAGCAAACTCTGGAGATAGTGGGAAACAGAGGAGCCTGGCAGGCTACAGTCCATGGTGTCAAAAGAATCAGACACGGCTGAGCAACTGAACAACAACAACAAACTGTTCCACTACCACCTGCTGAGCACTGCCAAGGAGATGCCGCCACCTGGATATCAACTTCAGCAGGCAGACGCCTGCTCAGTAAGAGGTGACAGGTTCACAAAGGCAAGACAGAGATATCCCGGATGTGCCTCCCAGTTATGGACCCACTACATTAGTGGCTCAAGTTTATTTCAGAGGGTCTCAACCAGTGATAAGGGGCTATTCTTAGAATGCATTTATGTTCTTCAAATGAACGCCTCACCATTATTTTGATGTGCTTAATGTAAGAAAGTTTAAATAGGTTCAAAATCTACTGACAGTTGTCACACAGAATGTCAATATTACATGTCAGTGAAATAAAAGATAGATCTTTAGCTTGAAATACAATTTCATTGCTGAAATATAAACATTTTAATGAATACAAAATGTGTTTTAGAATTTAATTATCTATCTCTATGAATAAAGTTTCTGGCTGATGATAATCTATAAAATTTAAAGAGAATCTCATCAAGCTATCATGAGGGAATTTAGTAAAATATAACTGTTTCAAGTTTAAATTCCCAATATATATTTTGCCAGATATATAAGGAGCTCATTGAAATTTTATATATGAATTGCTACTACTCTCTGCCTTCAATCAGCAAAGGTTAATAAGGACAACCAGATACAATTTGGAATCCTAACAACCCCCATGACACAACTCTGTGTACTACCCAGAATTCTTGAGAGTTCAGTTTAAAATAATAATTGGAATAGTACACAGAGATGTATATTAAGGCTATTCAACTACTTTGTAATAACTAAAATATAAAAGAAAGCAAAAAAGAAATCCTCCAATTCCAGCAACAGGAAACTGGCTAAATATGATATAGCCATGATATTAAAACACTATATACTTATTAAGAGTGTTTAGTAGAAGTGTTCCAGGTATCTATTGATACATAATAAAAAATCCCTAAAATTTAATTGGTGTAAGACAACAATAAGACTTGTTTCCCTCACAGTCTGTGATTGTGTAGGTCTTGACAAGGACTGCTTGTATCTGCTCTACTCAGGGTCAGCTGGGGTTGCTTGAAAGCCGGGGACTGAAATGATCACATATCTGGTGATTCATGCTGGGGCAACTCCCCACCCCTTCTCTCCCTCTCTGCCCCCTCCACTCCGACCCAACACAGTACCTCCAGCATGGCTGCTTCTGGATAGGCAGGCCTCTCACACGTCAGGACTCCCGGGGAGGTACGTTCTCCTGAGGATAAGGAGCCGAGCAGAAGCCGCGCTGCTTTTGCAGAACAATCCCAGTAGCACCCTGCCACATTATACTCCTCATAAACAAGTCACTAAGGCAGACATATTCAAGAAGGAGAAGAATTTTACTCCATCTGTGGATAGGATGGGATGGGAATGTCAACAAATTTACAACATCTGCGTTATGTATACTTACTGACATTTTAAAAGTCTTTCTGTAAGTACAAATGTTATAAGACATATACACGTTAGTTGCCTGCTTTTTATATTTCAATGTGTGAATATCTAGTAAACCAAATATAATCTCATGGCTATGCATCAAAGCATTATAGTCTTTTTAAGTGGATAGAAGGCTCAAATGGCCAATCCATTTATTTTGGTTGGTCTGTGGCTTTTTTATAATTCAACAAATATATGCCACTGTACAATTTAGAAGAAACACACAAATAATCTTCTTTTGTGAACCACTGGGGAGATATTATTTCTCAGAAAAGGATTTTTTTATATTTGAAAAAGGAAGTAAAAGTTGTCACTAAACACTTGTCTTCCCTGGTGCCTTAGACAGTAAAGAAACTGCCTGCAATGCAGGAGACCTGGGTTCACTTAGCAGGTTTCTGAGAGTTGAATTCAGAGTTCTCCTTCATTCTTACTGTAGAGCTTCCTTTATCCTTTAATGCCTTAAAAATATGCCAGCTCTTATTCAATTAGTGATTTGTACTCAATTAATAACTTGGACAACAAACATTTATTCAATCCTTGTAGGAAATAGAACAGTGTCCTAAAGATTTAAAGAAGATAGAAAACTTTAAATGGTTAATGCTTAATATACTTCAAGTGTAACAGAGAAAGATTACAAAGATAAAAGAGACAAGAGCTAAAAATATATAAAAATAAAAAAGAAGAGACATATCTGGCATTTTAATATAATTAACTAGATTCTCTGCTCTAATTTCTTCCAAATATACCTTCCTAAATTCAGATCATCAACATTTCTGATGGAGAGAAAAGAGGAAGTATTGCATCAATATATAAATGCTTAGGCAAACTTTCCAGCAAATATTACACATTGTGAATTTCCCAGTGTCAAAGAAGTATGCCACTGATCCTTAGAGTGTGTTCCAAATGATGACCCTATTTGGAACCAACATGCCAGCCTCAGGCCAATCCCAGGCAGGAATGAGTGATTGGGCAAGTTTGTTTCAGGTGCCCCCTACCCCCACCCTAACTTCTTTGACTGCACTCTTTCAATCCTTCCTTCCATGACCCCATAACCCAGGGACCACATACTATATACTCAGAGGCCAGGATCTTCCTCAGCACTGCATTTTCTTAATGTGTCTTCCCAGGAAGATTCCCTGATGTGGGATATTTCCAACTCAGTTAATCCTTCCCATCACCTCCAACAAACGATAATTGTCATATGAGTCAGCTTCTGCTGGGTCTTTTTCTTTACACAGTGAAATCTGGAAGAGAGGTAAAAATGAGCTCACATTTGTGATGAGTGAAGGGAATTTAAAAATTCCTAACTTAGGTATTCACATTCAACCCATGTCCACGTACTATTACCTTTTTCCATATTTAGGAATGAAGACTCAGAGTTGAATGAGCCTAGTAGGCAAATGTAATTATAATGCAAGTCAAGTACTATTAAGGGATAATTACTTATCAAGTTTTATGAAAAAAACAGGGAATGGGGTTATGATTTTTAAGCAGCTATTTTAAAGGTTTCATGCAAAAAATACTTGAGCTGAAACTAGAAGGATGATTTCATTTACTATACACCTATTATAATGAGGCATTTTCTGAATCCTGAGGGAAGGGAATTCCCTGGCGGTGTGGTGGTTAAGACTCCATGCTTCTACTGCAGGGGGCTCCGGTTCAATCCCTGGCAGGGGAACTAAGATCCTACAGGCCAGGGCAGCCAACAAACAAATAAATAAATTTTGAGGGAAGAATAAATTGGACAAGGATATTTACGGAAGAGAAAGTAGTATAGAAGCATGAAATAGTATGGCATGATTAGTTCCTCACTAGTATTCCTGCAGGGCCGGAGGGTATGGATGAAAATCCTGAGAGCTATATAGTAAAGCAGCCTAGAGCAATGGTATCCTGTGGGACACTATGGGGGTTTATTAGCAGAGGAGAGATACTAAAAGATGTATTTTTAATTAGTAAGTGAAGAAACTTAGACAATGGATCCATTATGGGGATGAATTGAATATAGAAGTGCCCGAAGAAGAGATAAATTATAAGAAGCTGATGCAATAATCTAAGTAACAGCATGAAGGCAGTGCAGTAGACATCAAAAAAATAGATTCAAAATGTCTAGAACTTGAATACGAGAAGACTAGTGACTAATTTTATACAGTGTGTGAGGATGAGATAGATCTAGAACATCTTTAGTCTATCTCGAACAAGTGAATACAATTACTATTTTTTATGTAAGGAACCCATAAAAAAAGAACAAATTTAGAAGGAATAAGATTAAGAGTTTGGTTTGAACCATGCAGAATTTAAGGTGCTTCACGGACATTCATGTTGAGGTACCTAGCATGCAGTTGGAAATGTAAGTCTCAGGAGAAAAATGGAGATATTCCTTTGAGAGCTGATAACCAGGCAATAGCTAGAACCAAGGAAGTGGATGACATCACCAAAGGGAACAAACTGAGGAGATGTGCAAGGAAGAATTATGGAGAATACCAGTATACGAGAGCGGGAAGAGAAAGGCGAACGAATGGAATGCTGAGGACAGCCAGAAAGACAGGAGGTGGCCCAGGAGAGCGTGTGACGTGGGGCACCAGAGACAGGCAGTCCGAGAAGGAGGAGGCAAGCCAGGCCAGACAGCCTGGAGACAGAGCAAGCCTGGCAGGAGACGAAGTCTCTGGGTTTGCAAACCTGAAATAACATAATCTCAGTGACAGCTACATTTTAAGAGACATTACCAGAAGCCAGAGAACAATGGTTGAGAAGTAAATAAAACCTGAAGAAGTTTAAAAGGGAAACATCGATTACCAGTGCAAGACATTTCATGAAGTCAGGATCTCAGGAAAGCTTTTACAGTATTAACTTGGGTTTTCTGCTCTAGGGCAAAAGGCAATGGAAAGGGACAGATTGAAATGGAGACGAGATATAACTGACATTAAGATCTCAAAGGAACTAGAAGATAGGCTCAAGAGTCTAGGGGGGAAATGGGCTAGGTGACAGAAGTCGGAATAGTTTAGGAAGCAAAAAGCAAGAAAAGTAGGCTATTCAACTCCTGTAGTTATTCAATTCATTTTCCAAAGTATTTTCTCAGTTAAGGAAAAAGTTGCTAGTGATGAGATGTGCAAAAGAAGGGGACTTCGGAGATATTTTGGAATACCCGCTAAGGGGAATAAGAAGGGAAGCGACTAGGAGCAGGTCCAGGATGTCCCCAAAGCAGCGGAGTCGAAATTCATAAACATGACATGTCACCCATGTCAATCTGCAGTGCAGATTGTCGGGTTTTTCTTTTCCTTACAGAATCCTAAAACTTTGGAACAACAAAAATGTAAATCGCTAGGGGGAGACAGCACTGGGTGTGGCCAAGCAGCAGAGAAGGAAGAAATCGTGTGCTGAAAAGTCTTACCGAAGTCACTCGTCACGGCAGACAGCAGTTCAGCCTGAGGAGAAAAAGATGTCAAGTCATAAATAATGGATTGAGAGGCCTGGAGAGTCTAAGAACTCAAGAGTTCAGTCAATTTCATTTAAAACTCATTCTTATTCACCTACTACATCCCAAGGTCTGTACTGAACACTGGGGAAAGAACAGGGTCCCTCTAGAGATTTACAGTCCAGGAGAAATAAATATAAAGTTAAATGCCAAGAGGGAAATATTTTTGGACATAAACTGGGGACCAAAGTAGAGAACTATTATTTGCCTGGTGCAGAATGAGCAGGAAGGTTAGTGTAATGGGGACAAAAAAATAGAAAAATTACAAGAACAGTAGTTTGTGATATAAAGTTTATGTCTCCACAGGACTTTATGGAACAAGCCTTTTGATGGGGTATCTAGCGGCCTATTTGGAGGATTACCTGGGATTGGGAGCTTCGATACTGTTCCACAAAGGCTTAGCTTAAAGAGCCATTGTACTGCCCGTCCAGAGCAGCCAGCACCTCACCACAGTGTGACAGAAGAACGGCAGCTAGCAGCGGTGACGCTCACTCTATGGACCCGCCTGCAGTGTGGGGACCCAGGTCCCATCCTGGGTGGGGAGCCCCTGAAGAAGGGAATGGCCACCCACTCCAGCATTCTGGCCTGGAGAATTCCATGGACTGTGGGGTCACAGTTGACACGACTGAGTGACTTTCACTTTCATTTTATGTCACTTTCAGGCAAGATTCAGATCTATATGGTGCATTTATGTGTGTGTGAATACACACACACACATACTTGTTTATTTAAGGCTCACAATATCCTTATAATACTATTATTATTACTCTTACATTATGAATCAGGAACCTGATGAACAGAGAGGTTAAATAATTTGCCCAAGCTCACACAGCTGGTAAGTGACAAAGCCAGTACTCCATCCTAGAGAGCTTGGCCCTCATATTGCCTCACAACTCATTACATCAAAAACTGTGACCAGAAAAGTTATTTCCAGTTTCAAAGAAGAACTCCCAGGTACTTCAGTCTTGATGGGACTGAACTCAGTTGTTCACTGGTCACTCAATTGTTGTATCTATGAAAGTAGGGAGAAAAATCCTTTATCACAATCCTCATGAAAGAGTTTACCTGAGGACTAAGAGTTAATTGCATTTCTGCTTTCCAGAAAGGATGAATCCTGTTCACCTCACTGAACTTTGTTTTGGTGAGTGACTGGCAAGTTTAGACCAGACTGCAGGAGACAACTGAATTCTAGGAGAAGTTAAGAGCTGCCGCCCGTAATCTTCCCTTTACCCTTTTTCCTAATCAGCCCTCAGCCTTCCCACCAAGTAAATATGGGAAGAATTATTTAACATTAGCAGTTTGTTCAGTTCAGTTCAGTTGCTCAATCGTGTCCAACTCTTTGCAACATCATGAACTGCAGCACACCAGGCCTCCCTGTCCATCAACAACTCTCGGAGTTTACTCAAACCCATGTCCATTGAGTCAGTAATGCCATCCAACCATCTCATCCTCCGTCATCCCCTTCTCCTCCCACCTTCAGTCTTTCCCAGCATCAGGGTCTTTTCAAGTGAGTCAGTTCTTCCCATCACTGGAATTTCAGCTTCAACATCAGTCCTTCCAATGAACACCCAGGACTGATCTCCTTTAGCATGGACTGTTTGGATCTCCTCGCAGTCCAAGGGACTCTCCAGAGTCTTCTCCAACACCACAGTTTAAAACCATCAATTCTTCGGCACTCAGCTTTCTTTCTAGTCCAACTCTCATATCCACACATGATTACTGGAAAAACTATAGCCTTGACTAGACAGACTTTTGTTGACAAAGTAATGTCTCTGCCTTTTAATATGCTGTCTAGGTTGGTCATAACTTTCCTTCCAAGAAGTAAGCGTCTTTTAATTTCATGGCTACAGTCACCATCTGCAGTGATGTTGGAGCCAAAAAAAAAAAAAAATCTGACATTGTTTCCACTGTTTCCCCATCTATTTGCCATGAAGTGATGGTACCAGATGCCATGATCTGAGTTTTCTGAATGTTGAGCTTTAAGCCAACTTTTTCACTCTCTTCTTTCACTTTCATCATGAGACTCTAGTTCTTCTTCACTTTCTGCCATAAGCGTGGTGTCTGCATATCTGAGGTTATTGATATTTCTCCCGGCAATCTTGATTCCAGCTTGTGCTTCTTCCAGCCCAGCATTTCTCATGATGTACTCTGCATATAAGCTCAGTTTGATGGTGTATCAAATAATTAGCCAACCTGGGAAGCCTCCATGGGCTTCGAGGACCACAGTTCATCACGGGCACTAGGTCTGCCTGGAAAAGGGGTGGGCAGCTGACAGGCTGAGTTACTGACAGCACCAGCAACACTGATGTCCCCCTGAATCAGAGCTGTGCAGCCAGGCTCCGGCCAGGGACAGGCACCATCTGCCTGGGGTGGCTCAGTCCAGGGCTCCGAGCCGGAGACCCAGGAGAAGAAACGTGCTGCGGGCCTGCGGGCATCAGCCTTCTCACCCCTCACCTCTCCCCTCCCTCCTGACAGGAGCGCCTGGCCCACTCCTTCCAGCCCTCTGAGGACATGATGAAAACTGCTGCTACCGGCAGTAGGTCCTGCCCTCCCTCACCCGCTCCCCCACCCAGGTGCTCCCGGCCTCCCACACCCGGTCCTCCACCCAGGTGCTCCCGGTCGGGCCAGCAAGGGCTGGCGTTGGGCCTGTTGTGGGGAGCCCAGAAGCAATCCTCAGAGGCTTAGAGTTGAGGGGAGACTCAGCCCTGCTCTCTCCTGTGAAAGGAGCAGGGCGGATCGGGGAGCGTGAGGCTGGTCACCCCACCCTTCCCCCAGCTGGACAGAGAGAAGGTTGTCCTTTCCTCTCCCAAAATCCTGCTGCGGCTCATATTACACTTGGAAGCAGTACTTAAGTATGCTTTTCTATGAAAGTGCTAGAAGTCATGTAGATCAAACATGCTTTTTAGAGTTTTCCAGTCAATAATAAAGTAAAAATAGGAAGCTGAAACACAATTCAAAATTATAGACATTTTTCTCTTGGGAAAAATACTCTTAAAAAAAAAAACTTTTATTATATTCAAAGGTAAAACTATTGGCAGAATCTAAAGAAAGCTCATGAGGAGTCAGCAAGCCCGCACTCGGTGGGGGCGATGGCTATGAGTCTGATACCCTAACTCAACGATTAACTGAGGCTACTTCTCCTTTCCCTTTGAAAACTTTCATGGCCAAGCAGAATCTTTGGAGTTAGTTTTGGGACATGGACCCGCCTTCTTCCTAGACTGCCCACTCTGCTAATTAAAGCAACTAAACTTTCTATCAAAAACAAAACAAAAAAACCAAACTGCAGACAGAGCCATTATTATCTCTTCCCAGGTCATTTTATTTATTATTTTTTTATTTTTTTATTTTTTAAATGATTATTTTACTTACAATGGTAACTTTTAAGGTTTTCTTCCCTTTCCTTTCATCTAGCCTCAATTTCAGGCCAAAGTTTTTAGGCCACACTATTGAGATACAACTACCACAGGAAAAGTAAAGAGGTTCTTTTTCAATTTGACTTCCTCAGCTGAAAGATTTAAAGAAATTATTAATTAGCAAGTTTTATTAACTGTTCCTCCTACCTGACTTGCTGAATATAAGGTAACTATGGTGACGAATAATCTTTTTTACTTCTGTGGCCTCAGTGCAATAAGAAAGATCTCTTTTTTGTTCTGAATTGAGAAGAATTTTCTTGTCTGCTGTGGCACTGCTGAGTATGCCACGGCAGGATTCAGGCCACGTCTCCTAGTGATGGAGCCTGTGTGATGACGTAGTACCTGACCGCAAGGTCTTCTGGCTGACTCACACTGCGGACACTACCACGTAGCCAAAAGGCATAATTGCGAAAAATGACACAGCTAAAATTTTGCTAACCTCTGTGAAAAACCATTTGCTTTTTTTCAAGCTAGTTACAGACTTTGCCAACAAATGTCCATCTAGTCAAAGCTATGGTTTTTCCAGTAGTCACATATGGATGTGAAAGTTGGACTAGAAAGAAAGCTGAGTGCTGAAGAATTGATGCTTTTGAACTGTGGTGTTGGAGAAGACTCTTGAGAGCCCCTAGGACTATAAGGAGATCCAACCAGTCCATCCTAAGGGAGATCAGTCCTGGGTGTTCATTGGAAGGACTGATGCTGAAGCTGAAACTCCAGTACTTCGGCCACCTGATGGGAATAACTGACTCACTGAAAAAGACCCTGATGCTGGAAAGATTGAAGGTGGGAGGAGAAGGGGACGACAGAGGATGAGATGATTGGATGGCATCACCGACTCAATGGACATGAGTTTGAGCAGACTCCGGGAGCTGGTGATGGACAGGGAGACCCGGCGTGCTGCGGTCCATGGGATGGCAAAGAGTCGGACGCAACCGAGCGACTGAACTGAACTGAGAGACTGTAGGCTTCCACTCAGAGCATGGAAAAATCGATTCCTTCAACTACATGTGTATCGATGGAAATTATGAAGACTTTGGGGAGAAACCAAAGGAAAAATCTTTATGTTAAGTTCAACTTTTTTTCCTATGGGTTATTTTAAAAATGAGTAATGTCTTTAAAATTCCCAAATCAGAGGGCATATACTTTGGAGAAAGGGAAGGATGAAGATAATAATTAAGGAATCTTTCCTGAGTCAGAAAACTTAGCACATTATAGACAAATAATGAGCACCTGAACAGAGAATAAAGAGTAAAAGGACATCTTGCTTTTGGACAACATATTTTCATCTTAGATGGGAAAAAAAAGGCAAGCAGAAGAGTTCCTGGGCTTCCCTTGTGGCTCAGCTGGTGAAGAATCCGCCTGCAATGCAGGAGACCTGGGTTCGATCCCTGGGTTGGGAAGATCCCCTGGAAAAGGGAAAGGCAACCCACTCCAATATTCCTGCCTGGAGCATTCCATGGACTGTAGAGTCCACGGGGTCACAAAGAGTCAGACACAACTGAGTGGATTTCACTTTCACTTTCTTCAGAGGAGTTCCTAAAGTAGTCTTCATCATTCA